TACTGCTTTTTGTTTACTTATTGCCTCTGTTCGGACAAGTATTTCTGTCATCGTTACTAAAGAGGAAAAGTCATTTAAGTTGTGGAATCGAGTACAATGTCTTTGAAGGCGTCTTGTACTGATCGGTATATAGAGATCTTTGGAGAACGTAGGTTTACAGTATTCTAAAGGTGCGATGTTGTTGATGATACTTTTGATGTTGTGATAAAATATATTGGTTAATGTGTCGGTATTGTTTGAGGTAAAGAAAGTTCTCCAATCAGTGCTTCTTAGGTAATTGTGGAAGTTATTCCAATCAACCTTGCGATAGTTTCTACGAAGTGTTGCGGTTTTACTTCTATCGGTTGTGGCTAGAGTGAGCGTAAATAAGGCATCCTCCGCCTCGTCCATTCAATCTATCGCTTCTATATAGAAAATAGTTATCAAGAGATATACTTCGGTCGGAAATATTACTGTTCGTCCATGCTTCAGATATCATAATAAGTGATGGTTGGTATATGGATACAAACAGGGCTAAATCCGTCTTTTTGTTGCAGATCGATCGAGCGTTGATAAGACATATATTAAGCAAGTGGCCTACTAAGTTAAAATGGGTGAGGGTATCTCGGATAAAGTCATCGTAACCCTCGCGGGTGTGAGATGATTTTGATGTGAGGGATTGGATGTTCTTCATTAGCTCGGTATTTTGATAGTTAAACTTATTGGGAGATGTATCAAATGAGCTGGTGAAGTTGATTGGGGAGTTAACCCAGGAGGAAAGGGTGGGAGTACTCTCTGATGGAAACTGTACGGAGTAAACAAATTTATGGTTTGCATGTGGTTTGAAATAACCTGGGCTATATGCTTCAACAGAGGTGTCACTAGGGGTCTTATTCCAAAAAAATATTGTACAGGCCTACTGTGAAGTGTATGGTTATTTACAAAATAGTCTTGATGGTTAGACTCGTAGCCCCTGTTATGGCTATTTAGGTTAGCGTGAGAGGGGTCTGCTACGCGTAACTGGGAGGAGTTGCGACTGTTGTTATACATAGGAGCCGTTGTTATGTGATGGGTCGATACTAAAGGGTGTGAGAGGTTTTCTTTCTGAGAGTAATTACAGTTGCGATCCTGGGGAATGTAGGTAGGGTGTGGAGTGAGAAACCTATTATGACCATTCTTATTTATGGCTTTAGGCTTCAGGGGGTGATTTGGGTGACCAGTTCTCTGGTAGTTTTCGTTAGTCTGCGCGTAAGAAGGCTTGCTACGCTGAAGCCCACCACCAATTTTGTGAGTTGCTCAAGATTTCTGTCTGTGTCAAGGCCCCATATATGAGTGAGGGGTGCTAATTGCTCAAGTTTGCCGCTAATTTCGGATAGAGAGTTTTGTAGCTGTCGGATGTCATTACCATATCTATCAGTATTTTGGTGTGTATGAGGTGGACCATTGGACTCTTTAGTTTTTGAAATTTTAGATTTAGGCCTTGGTAGCACATACTGTCTAGTAGACTGTGCTGGCTTTTCTATGCACGTAGGTATAGTGTCTTGCATGTCAACCAGTCTTACCGTTGGCATACTGCACGTAGAGATAAAGGGGCTGCGATATGGAGAATCTGATGACGATAGATACATTTGTGTACAATACACATATTTTTCAGTAGTTAAAGGTTCGACATTGTCAAGCACTGAGTCGTCAGTTGTAGGGGTTACAGATTTGGACCTTTTATTTGGCTTAGAAGTTGGTGAAATTTCTCTTTTAATGGAGTTATTGGACATGATATGAAAATAAGTGAGCACAGTGCTCGTTAAATTAAATATAATATCTGAGTATTAGTTATTATAAAGTATAAACCTGGTTAATACTAGGGTTAGAGACTGTGAGTATATAATGAATCGCTGATCTATTTACGACTTAAGTCCGCAATAAGTACAATACGAACTGGTAATTGTCCGTCGGATAAAAATAAGTTTTTTCCTTATTTTTCGGGGTAAGATGTACCCGATGTACAGTACAGGATGATAATCACGGTATAATACACCCTACAAAAGAGCAAGTCGAAGAATTCCTAAACCACGTGAAAAAATGTTACCACTTTCAAAGTTCGCTCCTGGATAAATAACTGTTTCATGAGTTTTATTTTGATCTCCACAATGATTAATGGTGTTGCACTCGTTTGGTCCTAGAAATGTATAGGACCACGACATAATAAAATTTAACGGAACCAGATACTGCTCGCGTGTGATATAAGAAACTGTTCAGTAATAAGAATTTCAGAAAATATCCTAAATTATTGTGAGTTCATTTCAGTTCATATTCTGCTAGCATGAAACACTTCCAAAATAATTACTAGCACTCAGACATTGTTTGTTCCCACTTGTCGTCTTACTCTGAGATTTTGCAAACTTAAACTCCTCTTCCATATTCTTTGATCGGCCGGTAACCGAGATAAGTTGAAAACTGAACACTAATGCGAAAAGAACCAAAATGGATAAAATAGGCGTTACATTCACTAGACACTAGAAATATGTCAAAAATAGAATCTGGCAGTGAAATATTCTAAACGCCAGCAAGTAAACTGGAGTAAACCGCAGTTAACAATTATTTCAAACGAAACCTAGAAAAAATCAATCTATCAAGTTTTAGTCTGTGGTAAGATTCTTTGAATTAAAAATGACACACTTTGTGAGTTTAGATACAGCACAAGCCTCAAAGATGCCAACCATGTTAAGGTAATTCCTCTGGTTTTCTAGGTATCTACTTCCCAGAAACCCATCATTATTTTCTATTCCATGATTGACTTTTGAATGAAGGCAAATCTAATTGGTTAATTAGAATTAAGGACTCGGAACCACGTAGAAGCCGAAAATTCCAATTTGTGCTATTGTCTCAGAAACAGATGTGCGCTTAGTGACAAAAACACTACAAATTTCACTTGTATGATATAATACTGTCTCGGTCGTAATTCCTCTGATGATATCTTCAATGTGTTCTGTTTATATGTATAAAAATTATGCTATACGTTACTTCTCGAGTCCACTATCTGAGTTCCGTTTTCCTCCGCGTGTTAAATACAGAAAACTTTTATATTTTCTACTGCCACTATACTGACCGGATGTAACTACATATTCGTGTGAACTTCAGGCTTCTCGTCAATTGCTTGCTATTATTTACATTTCTAGTATCGAAAGCATATTTTATAACTTCCGCTCGAAAGCCAATCAGGAAGAGGCACTAAAACTAATTTAATGGAAACTCCGATGATTATTGTCTATTATATTTACAGTTATTTCACATGTTGTGTGAATGTTTCCTCTATTTACCACTTCATATCTCATTTGGTAAAAATTAAAAAGCATGAAATTACCATCTACCTTATTTGGTTAGTTTTAAATGATAAGTAAAGTGTCACAAGGCCGAGTACTAAGATCAGTCCTCTTTGCATTACTGATTAACAATTATCCTAGTACTGAACATCTCTATACGTGATGATCTTCAGAATGGGAGGTAGATAACCAATTTAGTTGATATCTCCTAAAAGGACATAAAACAGGACAACAAAACACTTACATCCCATCAATATCAATTGATTTAGAGTGCTAATATTGAACAACATTGATGCTTCATCCACCATTTAACTCCTGAACAATACCAGCATCGTATTCTCCCGCTCACAAAAGGAACTGGAAATTTCTATGTGCAAGACTTTTTGTGACTTTTGCCACCGACATTCTTCGACCACCGAGCACCGATGTTTTATGTGACTCCTCTCCAAAACATTTAGCTAACTTGATGCCTTCAATGTTTGCTTAACATCCTATTTGTATAATCTTCTGTGATATGTCATTTTCCAGACTATTTGAACGACATATCTCTCCGAAGATAAAATGAGCAAAATATACCGCTCAGACTGGTACTGACTACTTCTACGATCATCACATCACATACGATAATCTGATTCACAACATTTGACATTAAAACCATGGGTTTCAGAAATGATGAACTTTGGAGCACTTAATCATTCAGGCATGATTCGTCCATGCAGGCGTGATAATTCTGTGTAACTTATCCCTCTTCATACTAAACATATTGTTCTATACCCAGACCAGATTTGTTCGTTCAGAAGTATTTAATACCGTATAACTGGCTGTCAAAATACGACAAACTGGATATTGAAACTATTGAAGTATTGAAGTGTAAAGTAGTCCATCTGCGACATGTCGCAAACTACAGTTACAACTTAGGAAACTCCTCTCTAGTAGTATCCCAAGTCGAAAAAGATTTAGGAGTCCTGGTGCCCCATGACTTAAAGTCTTACGCTAACTGTGACAAAAATGCCTTCCGAGCAAACCTTGCACTGGTAACGTTGAGGCGCATTTTTGGCTAGTTTGACGGACGAACTTTCCACACAATCTTCAATAGTTTCATCCGTCCCCATTTCGAGTACGGAAACATAGTACTCCCCCCTCACTCCAAAAGGACAAGGTCACTTTGGAGCGTATCCAACGGCGAGCCGCGAAATCAGTTCGAGGACTCAAATCTAAGCCTTACGAAGAACGCCTCCGTTCACTAGACCTTTACCCACTAGAATATAGGCGTCTTAGAGGTGATTTACTAATGGCTTATAGTATTCTTAACACTTCTGGACATCCTCTTAAACACCTACTTAAGCTTAGTTCGAACAATAACCTAAGGGGTAACACCCAGAAACTGGAAACACAACATAGCAAGACGGAATGTAGACACAACTTCTACTCCTTAAGAGTTGTCAAAAGCTGGAACTCGCTGCCGGCCGAGCTAGTCCAAGCGACTTCTCAGGAGTCCTTCAAGAGGCAACTTGACCTATTCTTAAGGACCAAGGACAGCATCACATTATGATTTACCAATTTCTTTTCCTCTTTTACTGTTAACATACCTAGGTTCCTGCCTGGAGGATTTGGTGATCCCCTGCTACTAGACACGGAAGCCTGTTAAGCGAAAGCTTCTTCTATTCCGTCCACAACCATTTGAACCATTTGAAGGTCACTGACAATGACAACGATAATACCGCAGCTTTTATTATAAGATAAGCTGGACAAATAGATTTTATTCATTATTCTCCATGAACAATAAAGTTTAAATCTTATTAATGTGAGGAATTGTTTGAACAATTATTGCGCATCGTGGGGACTACATATTTTGTGTTTGTTAACACAATCTCTCGAGTTTGGGGATATTTTGGGGAAATCCCCCAAGTCGAATGACCTTCATCAAGGTTTAGGAGAAAGTTTGGGGTTTCAGTGCCATTTCCCCGAAATTAAAAGAATTATCTCCCGATTATATATAAACGTATTTTTTCTTCAGTTAATTTCGAAAACATGACGCATTTCTAAAACACTTTTAGTGGCCCGTGGATCGATCCACGGAGTCAGATCTGACTCCTATTTAGATCGTACGAATGATTGTTATCGCCTATTCTCGTATATAATCGTCGACTTAAATCGCGTCAGTCAATAACGGAATTAAATAAGTCGAATAACGAGAATTGACTTATGAATACATATATTTTGTAAATGAAGCGAATTAAACAGAGCAAAGCAAAAATGACACGCAGGGAAGATGGCTGGGAAGCCAACTCCATTTTAGTCAAGCGTTACTCAATATTTATAGTCAGACAAAATTAAGCTACAGACATGTGATTAATGGAATAAGAAGGGCACACACATATACGCTCATATAAAAACAGTCAAGACTGATAAGCGAATAACTGACAAGATCAAAATATGTCTCGAGTAGAATGAAGAAGATGGGATGTCCGAAAGCCAGAATAAGGTTTATGAGCTTGGCATAATAAATGACACTACATACTCACGCCATTATTGTCAACATTGTTGATCAACATGTCCGTTGTCGCAAACAAACCTCAACTGAGAAAACCTCTCCTGTGTAGCTAGGTGGACGACTATCGAGAAGCGGTATAATTTCCTTACGTTAAACGCATCCTAGAATGTGTCGGTTTTCTCTATCACCCATAATTTTGTCTTTGCCAAGTACCCACACATAACCTTGATCATGGTTCATGTTCTTGTGTACGTTAGTGCGAGAGTCTTGTACTTATATCTCTTTCAGGCTTACATGGACCGAGTAACCTATTACATACTGAATTGGTCGCTTCTGAAACTCCAGTTCATGTGCATTTCTCGTTTCTTGCCGTTCTTCTACACTGTGAAATGTCTGTAATATATGTCGCTTTAATGCTTTCATATTTGACTTCACATATCTACGTTGTTATTGACGGGATACGTCAACAGAATATCTACTAAGTAAACAGGTTATATACACTTCCTTGACATCATTATCATTCGGTTATGTGGAGTGGAATCTCGGAAGACCGAATAATTAGGTTGATCAGCGTCAGCACCTTTTGTTCTCTAAATTTTTATATCATCTTTAAACACAGTGTCGATGAATTGAGCGGTCCTGATAAACCATTGAAACAGAACAAAAGACACAGGGTCTTAGAGAGTGCCTTAAGACATGGGATATCTAACCAACTTCTATTCAGACATTGCTTCATTTACCACCACTTTTTATCTCTACCCACAGGGAAAGTTTCTCATCCACTCTTGTGTGACATCTTTTATTTCAAATCTGGAGAGTTTTGCATAATCCTTAATTAAGGCGATCTATTTAATATCTTGTTAATCTATAAATATCAGGCAGACAAAAAGATCAACCTCCCTCGCAGCTAGTAGGTTAGTTAAGGACGAGTACCTGTTCCAAAAATCGTGCTACCAAGTAGCCAACAAATTATATGGTTTTACGTGACGTAGTGGCTTAGTCCGAGTTATTTTCTTAAATACCTTAACTACTATGTCAGTTAGATCGATAAGTCGGTAGATAAACATGATCTATCTTGTTTCATGCTTGAATATAGGTTTAACTATAGCATTTGCCTAATCTCTAGAGAATTGAATTTTGGAAAAAGATATGTTGAACTGCAACTGTGAGTGGTTCTGAAATAGTATCCGCGACGAATGACAACAATCTTGTATGTAACCCATCAGAGCCCAGTGACTTACCAAGTTTAATGCTAACACGTAAACGAAAAGCAAATTTTGCGGTCACATGTACTGGTCCTATAGTCGGAATCTCATCAGCTTGGCTGTGAAAAGTGTTAATAACAACATCATATGAGTACACTTGATTAAAATAGTTTGGTGAACTTTCAGCCTCGGCATTATCTAGTTTAGCTGGTGTAATGGAGGGATTCTATCATTTGTTTTGTTCTCTTAATATGCAATCTGTTGAGATACCACTGTTTCAGATTGAAGGAATGTTGGCTCATCAGATGAGACGGAGTGTAGTAGATGCATGTTGTATATTGTGTTTAAAGCCCAAAGAAAAATACAATGTGACCTCTGTTTGGCAGAGTGAATGGAAACTGAATGTCTGTGATATCGCAGCGACTAGTATGAACAAGGTCTGACAATAATGGTTCACGTTCTAAGTCAACCGTAAGCTGCCGTCAAAATATATACCGGGAGCTATGAGCTATAGTCGGTTGATGTGAATCACTAAAGTCAGAAAAGGTTAGGCAAAAGTCAGCCTTGCTCTACCTGGAGTTCTGGAACTTTCGGCCCAACTTTCAACTTAGATTACTTTATGCAAGCTTGGATGTCATTACATGTGTAATAAAACCTTCTGGTAATGAATACTTTTAGTTAATCTGCTGCCTAAATTCCAAAGCAAATATATTTGAAAGCCAACTGATAAAATGAAGTAAAAGAATAAGTTTAATTATTACAAGGTTCCCCTTGTTTTCATCACATATTTGTAAGGAATGATTCTGTTACAATCACTGTATTTCAAAAAGTAATCAAATGAATTTTACTTACAAATTTAAGCAAACCTACCAAATGTACATCGACATCTCATCCGTCTGTAACCGAAAATCGTGATAAAACTTAAAGAAATAGTAAAACTCCCGATGAGCTCGGTTACTTAGTTTCTGTTGTTCACAATATACAGTGACTTTGACTAGCTCTGAGATATGAGGGAAGATATATAGGTAATATCTTTTGTTCACTAGACCCATGAAAAGAGATTCACCATGTTTCATGGTTACAAATCTCGAGCCCTTTATCAGATCGCCTGTTAAATAATAGTTGGTTCTTCTCTCCTTTTACTGTATTATTTGAAATATAATTTGACAATTAATTTTAACCACCTTATGTGAAACATTTTCACACATCTCTTCAAACTGAAAAAAATTTTGTTTCATTTTAAAAGTGGATTTTAATGGTGAATACTACAGTGAATCAGCTTATTTCTGAAGCAGGATCAAACGCTTCAACCAATACCCTCTTAGCATTACAACAAAGTGTCTACAAAACTCTTAAAGGGAATGGTTATAGTCAATATGCTGATTGAAACCTCTGAACAGATTCACGTCAGTCCTTCGATTTGTTTAAATCAAAGTGAAATTAAAACCAAAAGTGAAGTCAACGTAAATAAACTGACTGAAAGTCATATGATTTCTTAAAATATTACCTGTTTACTTGGTGACTAAGATGAGTGAAGGAAATTTCTAACATGCAATCGCAAACACATTAATTAAGTTTAAATCATATGTTAAATTAGTGCCAACAGCTGATATTTATTATTAAAGTGTAAAACTTACCTCAGCCAAGCTTTCCCATCCGTAGAAGGTGAATGGAGTTATGGTGAGAACCTAAGTCCCGAAAGTATAAATCTTCACTGATATAATGATTCTTAAAATCTAACGCTATCGTTTTTGTTTCTATATCGATAAATTATAATGATAGATTTTTATTGGATATATAACTTTTCATTATTGCATCTCTTTATTTGAACATAAGTACAAAGTCATGAGCGCTTATACAGCAAAACCACAAAAATCCTTGAGGGTGGATGATTGTATTGATAGTAGCAGCTTCAAAGTATATACATGTTAGTATATACATGTTAGTTGTACGTTGCGTATGACTGACTGCCTATTAGTTTAACCACTTCTCAGACATGCACTCTAAGTGAATTCTATTATGGTCTAACCATTGACTGCGTGACACTTTGTCATCATTACCAATACTGTAATGACTAATAGCCAGAATAAATGAGACTCTATATACTTACTTCGATGTTTGGACAAAAGTTTATATTCCTAAACAAGTAAAGCAAGTTACAGAGGTGGTATAGAAGATTTGTAGCTTAGGTGGATGGTTTTGGTAGGGTTTTGTTACCTGAACTGGATGGTTTGGTTGTGGAGCCTTCATCAATCTTCTGAACGAAATCATCAGCACAAACTTCAAGTAGAAGTGAAGTGTTCAGTCCAATTTATCAACCAATAAAAAATTATAGACAAATATAGGACCAAGAGTCAAATCGACGGGTGATACAATAAAAAATATTAAAAAAACAATGACAAGTTAAAGGTCAACAATAAGCAAGGTCTACAGGACAAGCTGTGAGTCATATGTGGATAAACTCAAACATCACTTTTACCTGAATTTTGTGCTGATGTTGTCGTTCAGAAGAACGATAAAAACTCCACGACCAAAGCATACAGCTCAGAGAACCAAACGCCACCAAAAAGTGAGTTTTAGGTTATATATATATTTATCTGTTTTTAGATGGGTTTTATTTGCCATTAAGCAATTAAGACTACTTGTTATACTCACCTCTGTCTTCAGGTAATTTTTGGTCCAATCTTCAAGATATCTTTTATTGACTAACGACTTTTTATACTGAATATTCCTGAATTCTTTGCAGTCGATACAAACCAAAAGGCATAGAAATCGAATTTCTGTGTTGTTATGCAATTTGTTGTGATAATGTACTTCTAGACTGCCTAGTCACAACAGTTTGAAATGACATGGCCTCCGGTTAGTTTTTTATATCAAGCATAACTTTTCATTAAATATATAGAAGTTTTCGACGAACCAGCCAACATCCTGATGGTAAACGGTGCTGTTGATCGTTATGGATTCTTCGAAGGTGAACAATTCTGCGAAACAAACACGCGGTAAGGTGGATCATCAGGTTAAACCAAAATACACAGGAAACTTTCTGAATCCTCTTTGAATAAAATACGCCGAAAAGAATTGAAATGGCAAAATATGCTGACTGAATGGGATAAATGGATGTATTATAAAACAGATCGGGTGAGAAATCAATGTCGAAAAGGTATTGCACCGGCTATACGTTCAAGAGTGTGGCAGTATCTCTGTGGAAGCCATAGAATAATGCAGATGGAACGTGGGAAATATCAGGTAAGGTTTAAACATATACACCAAATATGGAGACTTTCAATTTCCAGAAAAAAATTCACTTGAATATAATGTAAAAGACTTATGAAGTAAATTTTTTGTTTGCCGAGGTATTGTTAATGGTAAGAATACTCAATAAGATAACTCGCGGTTCACATTTATGTTTTTAATATTCAGAGCCCCTGACAATAAAGATGTACAGGGGTAGACAAACATAATAATCATCATGATATGATTATCAGAGACTGAAGTGTTTTGAGTTTATTTACCCTATGAGCTTATCTAGATAATTAGATTATAGATTCATGATGTAGGTAAAGTCTTCAATGTTTTAGTAATTAAGTTTGCAAAAGGAAAGCCATAGTCGTCTCCTGTTGCAGTTTTGACTTGCATAAATTGAAATCTATCTTGAATATCACTGGTAAAAATCATAAGCTATGCTGGTCCTTGCATTCATTATCTCTGTGTGGATCATATTTATTTAATAATGTGTTTACTTGTTGATCTGGTGCTATAAAGATAAATTGTTTAAAACGTGAAACAGATATAAATTTCAACCCTTTAAGATAGCTTCTAAATAACCGTCTAAGGAATTAGCCCCCAAATACCCTGGTACGGCCGAGAAAGGAGAGAGTCCGCTCTCCCTCTCGAAATGCTCTCACACGACCACGCGTATATAGCCTCTGCCAGGGAAGTCATACTCACTGCCTTCTTGTGGCGGGGGTGTTGTTTACGAAAATGAGAGGACGAAAAGCGAATGTCCGGCGCTTTAACGGGTTCTCAAACCAAAGCAATGGTGCACATGGGCTCCAGTATCCTGCGGGAACGAATGGCGTATGAACCAATTTTCGGTCACCGGCTACCATGGGAATGCATCTCCTTACGATGCTCCACTGCCTTGTGGGTTAGACCTTTAGGTCAAAGGCTTGGGGTGTGGCCCCCTAAGATAAGCATCTGCTTTGGTCTGGGCACTCGGGCAGTATCACAGCCCACACGCAAATGATGAACACTCTATATCTATGGAAACTACATTTCTTGCTCCGAATAACAGTCAAATGATCCAAATTATTATTATTATTATTATTATTATTATTATTATTATTATTATTATTATTATTATTATTTACTACATCATTATTCAACCTCTTTTATTCCTACTCCGTCTATACATATTTTTTCAGTTTATACAGCAGCTCGTCTTTGGTGGAAATTCGACTCTATCTAAACGTTCTCGAGTCACTGTCCGGTTGAAAATTGTATGTTACCACCGAATATGAGTACTGAAGCAGTTTTTCTGAAACCACGTGCACCATTCTAACTGGCTGCCTTCAACGTCCGCACACTTATGCAGGTCGGACAACAAATAGGGCTGGCTATGTCTTTAGAAAATCTTAATATCGATGTTTGTTGTCTATCCGAAACCCGTATTCAAGACTCTGGTGAAGTACTACAAATTCGACCTCCATCTGTCGCTTCGAAAAGCTTGTTTTACATGCGTTTATCCGGGGACCCTGTGGCATCTTCGTCTGGTCTTGCTGGCGTTGGTGTCGCACTAAGTGCAAGAGCTGAGGCAGCACTAATCGATTGGATCCCTATTAACAGTCGGTTATGTGCTGTAGATTAGAAAGTTCCATCAAAGTGAGAAGAAATCGGCGTGGGAAACGATGTCTTTTCGTCATCTCCGCCTATGCTCCGACAGATTGCAGCCCGGATGCAATCAAGGATGAATTCTACCACCAATTATCTGTTCTTCTCCAGAAAGTGCGTTCGACAGATATTATAGTACTAGCCGGAGACTTGAATGCTCAGGTCAGGCGTCTAGGCACAGAAGAGAGTCGTTTAGGTGGCCGATGGGGACTCGTTGGTCGCAGGACAGATAACGGGGACCGTCTACTGCAATTATGCACAGACCACAACCTGTTTCTGGCTAGCACTAACTTTCGGCACAAACATCGCTGATGTGCCACCTGGCGTCCTCCCTCTGCATCTCAAGCCTGGACTCAGATTGATCACATCGCGATCAGCTACAACTGGCGTGGTTGTGTACAAGACTGCCGCTCCTTTTGTAGTACCTATCTGGACCCTGACCATGCCTTGGTCTGCGCCAATCTTGCCTTACTTTTCAGTGGACAACGAAGTGACCGCCATCAACGGATTGATAATAGCAAGCTGGTTGCAACTTCTGTTATAAGTAAGTATCGAACAGAGCTAGCCTCTAGGCTAGCTACCATTCCACTGAAAAGTATAGATGAGCATTGGTTGCAATCACATGACGCCATGAAAATGGCGGGTACAGTCAGTTGTGGGTTTGCGAAACGTCCCGCTTATAAGCACTGAGTTTCTTCAGGCTTCTTAGACCTCATCAAAGCCCGTTGGTCTACTCCGAGTGACCGTGAGTTTGACCACAAACGAAGGATGTTACGTAATGAAATTGGGCAAAGCTTGCGTAAAGACCGAGAAGCCTGGTGGTCAAAGCGTGCTAATGAGCTGGAAGCAGCAGCTGCATTTGGTAATTACCGGAAGCTCTCCCAACTCATCCGAGCCACTGGCAGCAGGAAGTTTGGTGTGAGCGAAACAATCTGCGAGGATGACGGGATGCCAATCACTAACATCCATCGACGTCTTGGACGGTGGGCAGAATTCTTCGAAGGGCAGTTCAACTGGCCCGCTGCTCCCCCAACATCGGTCAGACTATCCTGCCCTCCATGGCCGGTGACGATTGATCCACCAAATCAGGCGGAAGTCCGCAAGGAACTCCAACTCTTGAAGCGTTACAAATCACCTGGCCCAGATGACTTACCTCCGGCTCTTTTTAAAGATGGTGGTGACTTTCTGGCTAAGGAATTGACGACGTTGTTTACAAAGGTTTGGGAACTAGAGAGTGTGCCAACGTCATGGAATGAGTCGATAGTTGTCCCTATCCTTTAAAAAGGGTTCACGTCGTTCCTGTAACAACTATCGGGGGATAAGTCTACTTCCGATTGCGTCCAAGCTATTGGCTTCCGTCATACTTCGTAGGTTGTTCAAAACTCGAGAAAGACTGACTCGCGAGGAGCAGGCTGGGTTTCGTTTTGGTCGAGGATGTATTGTTTATATCTTCACCCTCCGCCAAATGTTAGAACACCGCCATACTCATCAAAGGCCAACAATCGTGGTGTTTCTTGACATCAGGGCTGCCTTCGATTCGTTGGATAGGACTGTTCTCTGGGATTGTCTATTAAAGAAAGGTGTGCCTGAGAAGTTTATTAACATCCTAAAAGCCCTATATAAAAACACCTCAGGGAGAGTGAGGGCATACAACCACCTTTCTCCATTGTTCCATTCGAGCAGTGTGGTTAGGCAGGGTTGCTCAATTTCACCATTCCTCTTCAACTTTGCCATCGATGACATTCTGGAAACAGCTCTGATGGATGTAGGTAATGGCGCTGTGGATCTGTTGTCTGGAGAAAGACTTCTCGATCTTGAGTATGTGGATGATATTGTCTTACTGTGCGATAATGCCCAAGGCATGCAATCCGCACTTAATCAGTTGGCAATCAGTGTCCGTAGGTATGGTATGTGCTTTGCACCTTCGAAGTGCAAAGTACTTCTACAAGACTGGCAGGATTCTAATCCTGTACTCACTCTGGATGGTGAGCAGATAGAAGTAGACGAGAAGTTCGTGTAACTGGGTAGCTGTATGAGTGCTGGTGGGGGTGTGAGTGATGAGATCAATGCACGTATAGTGAAAGCCAGAGCGGCTTATGCCAATCTGGGCCATCTTTGGCACCTTCGTGATGTTAGTCTGGCTGTAAAAGATCGGATCTACAACGCGTCGGTGTGAGCAGCTCTGCTCTATGCTTGTGAAACCTGGTCTCTCCGAGTTGAGGACGTTAGACGACTATCTGTGTTCGATCATCGTTGTCTCCGAAGGATTGCTGACATCAAGTGGCAACACCATGTCAGTAATGCAGAGGTTCGGCACCGTGTGTTCGGGCACAGAGATGACAATGCAATCGATGTCACCATCTTGAAACACCGACTTCGGTGGCTTGGACATATTCTCCGAATGTCGTCCCAGAGAATTCCACGTCGTGCATTATTTACCGACTCTGGGACTGGTTGGAAGAAGCGGAGAGGTGGTCAGTATATGACATGGTGTCGTGGCATGAAAGAAAGCTGCAAAGGACTAGCTTCTGTTGGTCCTTCACGACTCTCTGGTTGGGGTCCGAGTGATGGTGTGACACAGTGGTTAGAGACGTTATCAGATATGGCTCAGAATAGAAGCCAGTGGCGATCCTGCTGTAACCTTTTACTTTCTTCATAAAAAGTGGTTGTGTCTCCCTTAACTAAAAGATTTCTTCTGATTGTACCTGTCTGTTCCGCCATTTTTACTATCATTATTATTATGCCACCTCACACCAGTCTCTTTTTTTCTCCTTCCCCTTAAATTCTGATTGTTTTGTGTGGCGCATATATATTTGGCGCATTCTTGTACCAATATTTATGTGTTCAAATAATAATAACAATAATAATAATAATAATAATAATAATAATAATAATAATAATAATAATAATAACAATAATAATAATCTAAATAATCACCTCTAAAGGAACTGAAAATTTTTTTTACTACTTATTTAAATTTTCGCATAAATAAAGACTCACTAACTTACAGAGCATCTTAATAAAATCTGAGAACTATATATTAAATCGTTAATTTGCAAAATGTCCACCACTTGTCTCAAAATGCCTCAGACTTTATTGTTCTTACATTTTCATACAAATTGCATTCTATTCTCATTCTTGCTTTCTTGATCTTTCACCATCTGCTGCTAGACATTACATTCCTGACTCGCATAATGTACTACTTACATCAGTATAAGTAGCACGCACCACAATATGATACATGCTATTTGTTTCCTTTAAAATACAATTTGTAGAACAACTACTCTTCAAATATAAATGGTAAGAAGTTGATAACCATGAGAAAAACATCAATATTATTTTCTCAGTAGGACTTATAACATAAGATTATTGCTAGCTATTCATACCAAAGCCCTAATACTTATTGTTATGACCGCGTTGCAGATTGTTATGTCGGAATCGCTTATTATTTATACTTATAAAACGAGGAACCACTGCAAATCTCACAACACAAATTAAGAACACCAAGACTAAAAAATACAGATTTGTTAACCACTAAACACGAAGATCCTAGTCGAAAATGCACTCATCACATATTGATTGCACACCCATTTTCATTATCAATTAGGATGAAATCATATATTTGGGAAATACCTAAAATTATAACAAATCATATGCTGAGCGTCATGCTGATCATAGTTCGTTTTAATTTAATACAAGAATATCGTATCTTAAGTGGACATCACACTCAAATAAATTAATATTGTAGCAAATAAAATATCACACTAGAAGACAAAACAAGTACTACAATGAGTAATTTCCACGTAGAATTAAAACAGATAATGTTGAACGAAAAACCACATCCAGTAAAGTGATGTGATTTCGCTTCTTAATTTTGTCATATCGCTTCTTCCAACATTATCATTATGTTCATTTTATTAGATAGAACATTTGGTTCACTGAATCCGTTTCTGTCTTTCAATACTTAAGATATTTGACTCTTACGAGTATTTCTCCACCACGTCAGTTCCATATAATTGTGTTAAGTGATTTATTATTCCCCAGTTTTATCTTATTTCATCTTTTATTAATAACGAATAGACATTCTCAACAAGTAGTGAGAAAAACATGCGCCATCAAATAAAAAATTACAATAACATGAAAAAAGAGATTTCATTGTAGTAGGCTGTGAATGAATAAAAATGGTTTTTCTTAAAAGATACAGTTCATTTTGATTTTACGAAAACTCCTGTTGAAAACCTCAACAGGACTGCCGCTGACTTCCAAACACTATCGGATAACATCCCAAACCACTGAATTAGACAATATATAGGATCTCAACCAGCGGGTTCTAATGGAATAATAGATACAAGTCCTTTGTGATATCTTCTTCATCACTGTACTATGTTTAAAAATGGATACCTGTATTTTCGATCTAGTTTCAGAGGCAAAAAACATAGCTTGGTGAGAATGCTGTCATTGAAAGGTAAGCGATCATTCTAAGAAGGTGGTGATCTGACATACAGTCACTAGATATTTCCATCCCAAATGGGCCAATTTTCACAACCATAGAGCAGAAGTAATCTCATGAACACTAAGCATATCTTGACGTTTACAGCTAAAATAACATGACTATGGTGCTATATACGTCCGAGACTAGAACAATCTGCTCTTGATTTTACTGTTTACAGATTTATTAACTCCTTTACTTCAACTTGGGTAATTGGAAATCTACTCAGGTATAAACATATTTTAACCATTTTCAACGGCTTCCTACAGAGCGCTAGTGAATATAGGAGTAAAACCTTACGCTTTGTAAATAAACCAGAAAGCATACTTTAACATTTTCTCCATCCTGATTATGATATTTTTAAATAGAGTGTAGGCAAACGTTTCTTTAACATAGGACCACAGAGTAGTTCTATCTAACGGGCCCAAGATGACCTAGCCGTTGATTAGCCCAGCGATCTTCACCGGCAGATGTGGTGGTGTCCAAGCACTTATTGAAGCATGAGGACTTGATTGATGTATCCACAACGTCAACAAAAATGGAACAGAACCCAAATTTTAAGCGCAGCTAGAATAAAACGCCCGCTGTTATTGCTAAACTATTTTCTGTCACCGTTAAATGCTGTTCGTCTTTTCTATCTCTTTTCAGTTTTATTAACATCCCTAATGAGGAAACAAAATAGGCATACTTCAATCCTCACAACCTCTTTTAACATAAACTAACCATTTTAAGAAAAAATCTTGACAAACAATAGTTTTTAAAGTAGGAAACCTGTAGAGACTTTACATTTTGAAAACATTTTTGATTGCAGACTTACTTTAGATCAAGAGCCATTAGAAATTCAAGAACACGTAAAAGATATTTCATCGTGGCTTGAGACTTCTAAACCAATTAACCAGAAATCATGTCATGGATATTCGGGTCCAACAGATACTACGGGACTTTGGATTCACCAACTTAGCATTCATTAGTTTATAATCTCAACGTCAGCCGATTCTCGATTGAGTACAGTTTAGTTCATTCAGTGATATTCATGTCACTCCTAAAGTGGTTGAACTTTGTCAGACATGCTGAATTTTTTCCAAAATAAGAGCTCTTTCAATTGCAAAACGTAGCTAACTTAATATGAATACCTTGGTACATTTGTGACAAAAACAGTCTTTCTGTGACCTATTTTTCTCGACTACTAATTTTCATATTTAAATCGTACACAGGTACTTTTGAGAATGTCGGGTGATCCAAAGACAATTTCACAAATCAAATTAGATGTCGACAGACAGTTGCCTAATCACGTACTTTTTGCTACAAGCCATTATAATGGGTAAGTCAAGTTTGTCATTTATTACCAGTAGTCAACACACTAGCCCTCCTTGAATAAACATATTTCACTCACGTAAATCAAAACATATTACTAAAAGTTATCTCATATTTAATGTCGAACTGAATTGCCAACTCAATAGATCATACTATGTCTGACGCTCCTCAAAGTATAACAGAAGAAATAGTTTGATTGAGCAAAGAGCAGAAAAGAAAATTAATTTTTTCCAGTACTATAACTTGAATTTTCCTCTGATAATAGCGCTGGTGAAATTTTAAGTCTAGCCGGTAAGGCAATTAGTTAGAAAGTCTATATTTTCATGAGCTGCTAGTGCTACGTATGTTAAGCTACTAAACGTTTCGGTGTAACCTAAGGAAAACCTTGACATGACTGATGAAATTTTGAAGGGTGTATAAGGAGAAAAATAAAAAAACGGCTCTTTCTTGGGGGGCCCAAGAGTTTTACTTAGGGCTCTGAATACTACGAAAATGATGCAACGCAAGAATATTCATCAGTTTTCTGTAGTGATGAAAAGATAAGATTCATGCTGTTGTATGTGTTTCGTGACTGCCGAATAATTGTTGATAAACTATATTTAGGAAAACCTCCCCCGCACCCGACTTTACCAAAATTTAAAATTTAAAGATAGCTGAAAAGCCAGAATTTGAATAGCTTCGAATTAAGCTTTGAACATTGAAAATGGAGATGGGGCAAGCGTTTTGCCACAAGTGAGGGACATCTTCAAGGGAATGCAGTTGATATATGCCACAATTTATAAAGAAACTTTATGACGACCTCAGCTCTTGTATTCACTAGACAGTGCAGTTTATGGATTACATGTGAGAAAATACATCAGTCAAAGACACAAGTTCTGTCTGGACATACGATATACTCATTATTAAGTTTCTTTGCGGTACAAAGGAATAGTTTTAAAAACGGGCTACTTGTTGAAGCCTACAAGTCTATCAAACCTGGAACAAATGACAAACTACGAAATGGAATTAATATAGCCTGGTTTCACTCTGAGAATTTATTAGACTTGAGCAATAATAAGTAACACCGTGCAAAATTATATCAATTGAAATCACCATGTTTCAAAACAGGTGAAAAATAGTCGGCAAAACAGTGTAAATATTAACATGAGTGAAAAAAGTAAACGTACACAGAATAATGAAGAATTTAAAATTTAGTATAAACTATCTATTT